TAGCCATATCCAAATTCTAATGTTTGCTCATGGATTCATTATGGAAAAGGGACTACTGAAGTAAGCAAGCTGATTCATATTTGGGTGTAGAGAATATTTAATAGTGAAGTATAACATATGGCCCGTTAATAACAATTTTTTGGTATGAAATATGGCACAATGAATAAGATTTTTTATTCTTTTATACTGTTCATTATAGTATCGACAAGTCATACATATGTGTTGCTTGTTCTTCTGCGGATAATATACACGGAAAATGAGCAGCTTTTAGTTAAACAAATTATTCTTTTTCTTGTTGGATTTAACTAATTTTGACTGTCGTGGAAACAATTTGCTCACCATACTTGAATTGATATCTAATAAGTTACAATTATGTTATCTTGACAAAGATGTATAGTTTAGTTTTATAATAATATAGGCTCGATTTATAACATAATATAAAACATTTTGTTAATTTAAGTAATAATTGGAAAACAAGGAAATACATGGGATACGTGCAATAGAGGTCCCAAACTTTTCCAAAGTGTGTAAATTACATCCAAACCTTTAATCGTAAGAGTTGAGGTCCTAAACGTTTCAAAATTGTGTGGCGGAAGGATCTGTGGTCGGACCAAACCTTTAATAATTGTGCGCCGGAAGGACTTTTTTCCAAAAATATTCATCTTCCCCGATCCATCCAACTGATGATGAAGTGAACCAAAACTGATGACATGATAACTACAGTAACATTTATTTGGACGAAGATAGTTTGGAAAGATTTACTTGTAGAAGCGAGTTGTCAGTTGTGCACTGAGATCTCCAAGTCCTTTACCTTCCGTGCAAGCATATGTCGAAATGAGACAGAAATTTCGGTAAAATTCATTAAAAGCTGCAAGAAAATGATAAATAACTTGCAATTTAAACATGTTCTCAGCTCGCCTTATGAAATTTCAGAAATGCAGAAAAGAGAGAGTGAAGCTGTGACTTGCAAAGTCTAATATGAAATTTCATTGAAAAGTGTCCGAACGCAGGTTGCAATATATAGGGACAATCATGCTACCTATACAATTAGTTTGACAATGTGTGAATTATCAGAGAATCTGACTATTGATTTGAAAAATTGACAATGTATGAGGTGTAGGAATCCTGATAATTGATTTGAATCCTAGTCAAAACCTTGTCGACTCACACATTGTGAAATTAGTTGTACAAATTCATTGCACAGCTAGCTTAATACATATAGGGATCATGCATGTTAACCATGGTTAAAAAGTTACCGAGGTTACAAACTTTTTTTTTTTTTTTTTTGCCGTGGTTAGTTGAGCATGAAAAAGAAAATCAAATATTTCTTGTACTGTCTACCCTTGTCGAATTGTGCATTTTCAGTGCCTGAAAATTGAGCGTAGTGGGTCCCACCTAATTTTGCATTTTTCAGTTTTTTTCCTCGAGGAATTTTGAACGAAGTAGAGCCCTTATTGCGAAAATTAATTTGAATTGTAACGATTATATTCAGTTAATTAGTTACTATTAATGATCATGCACATAGTTATTGTCAACATTCAACGAGTCGAAGGAATCGCTATGGTGAAGACTTCATTTTTTTCTCTTCATGAAACAGGTTGACGATGTTCATCTGGAGAATGAATGACCTTTCATTTATGTGCGGATGGAAGAAAGATTGTGTACACCAAATTAAATATATATTAAATAAGAAATATTAGGTGCAATTCGTGAGTAATCTAGGTATACAAGTACACGAGCACTAATGGTTTAGTTGCATAGATTAGATGAGAAAAATCTCAACCAAA